CAAGACATCAGCACAAATATTTTGTTTTCGTTAGCGATGCCTTGATGCCAATTTAGCATCGTCTGTTTTAACGACTGATGCCTAAAGTGTTTCTGTTTTGTTTTTTTGTAAAGTGGGGGGTTTTTTTGTGGGAAGCACTGATGCTGAAAGTATAGTCAATGCTCCAGCAACAAAATTTCACGCTCCCTCTCCTTTTTTCAGACTCCCTCGCAACCTTGGCTCCTCTCCCTCGCATTTTTTTCAATCCCTCCCACACTATGCCAAAATTTTGCTTTAGCAACACTACATTGGCATCAGTAAAACTGAAAATCGATGCTTTAAGTACATTAGACATTGCTTTTATAAATTAAGATGCTAAAAGATAAAAAGACATCAGCACAAATATTTTGTTTTCGTTAGCGATGCCTTGATGCCAATTTAGCATCATCTGTTCTAACGACTGATGCCTAAAGTGTTTCTGTTTTTTTTTCTGTAAAGTGGGGGGCTTTTTTTTGCTCACGTCATTGTGTGAGATTATTTAAGTTAGGGTTTCAATGTTTTGGGAAATTTCAATTAGGGTTTCAATTTATTGAGTAATTTCTCTAATCTTACTGTGTTTTTCTCTTTCCAGCTGGCTCATTGTCTCTTGGATCTCACTGCCTCTCTGGGCTTTAATCTAATGTATGAAAATCTCTAACCTTTTGATTTTTGGGTGTTTCTGATTTGGTGTTAATGTTTCTGAATTGTTTTCATCTTTCTTCAATCTCCTACCTTTTTCATGTTATTTATGTATTAATGTTTATGGATCTCATGCTTTCCTTTTGGTGCAGGTATTGGGAGGTGACGGATCTACGATTTTCTCTTTCTCAAGAATGCTATATCGCTCATCTCATCTCTGTGTTCTCAGTTTCTCGCTCAATTCGTATCTGCTCTCACGCTTTTCCTTAATCATCTCTTCGCTCTTACTCTCTCACTAACCTCTGAAAACCACAAACCCACCGAAGTCCCAACTTTTCCAATTTTTTTGTGGTATTGCAGGATTAGGGCCTTCTAAGTTTACATATAGGTATAATTAGTTTTTGTTATAAACTACTAAAGGACACGGTATGAAACTAATTTGTGTATGTTTGTTGAAGGTCTCTCCTAGCAGACATCATACAACCACAGGACTTGAAGGAGCTTTGTTCAGTTTTGGTGGTAGTAGCAGAAGAAGCTGCAAAGGCACTTGCAGGTAGTTTATTGTTTCATATATGACGAATCACTAGTGTTCAGAATTTTATATATTTTCTTCCTTTCACAAAAGGTTGTCTTTGCCTAAATGACTGCAAATGATCTTAGGGATGAGATATTGAGAGTTGGGTAGTGTCACACCATGGACCATAAAATGATTAAATCTGGAAAATGTTTAGAGTGCATCTCTTTAAGTAGTAAAATGCTTGGGTGTTAAAAGTGATAATACTGACTGCGAATTGCTCCAGAACATATAGTCATTTCTACCTAGACAAAAGTAGAAGTTGAAGTTCAGTTGGAATCCATCTAATATAGTAGCTTTTGACTATGAGCACCTCCCCTGTTTTTTATGGATAGCTTACAAGATTTAAGAAATTTTTTTTTGCCTCGGGGACTCTTTCAAATATTTGATGGACTGCTGCTATATGCTGTTGGCTCATTTCTACCTAGACAATAAGCTGTGAAACATCACTTGTGTGGTAAATTAAGTTTTACTAGTTAAGCGAGAACTATAATCTGCCTTCCAATAAATCACCTTCCACCTCTCATCTGATTTTGGTTTGTCTTTGTCTGGGTAAAGACGCATTTAACTACTAATAGGGCATTATAGGAAAAAATCAATTGTAAATTATCTATTATGTAGTGACTTTTCAAGTGGTTCTAGTAAATATAAAAAGTTGTGCCTTGGTATGACTGAACATTAATATGTCCAATCTATCCCAGAACAAAGGAATACAGCAGAGAAGCCGACAAACCAATTCATATCTGCTCTCACCCTTTTCCAATTTTTTATGTTGCTATGCTTAGGTTTCAAACACAGTAAGCAAATTGCTTTCTCCGACTCCTAATTCTCCTTCAGGTAAAACCTAAAACACATTTATTTTGTCTTATTGATCTGCATATATTTTTTGGTTTATGTTGTTGTCCTAAATTCACTTCTCAAAACCCACGCATAGATTTTTTGGTTTATTTTGTCTTTTGTATACTGCCATTCTGCAGCATCTTTACATCTATAAGTTCTTCATAGTTAAGTTTGCAAAGCTTGAAACAATTCTAATCTATACTTCTGCTCCATGTGAACTTGTCTGGTGGAGTTTAATTTCTAATTTTGAATACAAGTGAAGTGATAAAACTGTACCTGAAAAGCTTATATGTAAATATCTGTAACTAGTTCGGTTTCATTTTCTACATGTATTGCAGTTAGCCAGACTTGGGGTGGATGAGAAGAGTACAACAAATACTTGGTCGTAAACCCCAACGTAATCTGCATGTAGGTACCACTGAGTTTGTCCAAGTACTTAAGCAATTATATATATGCCATCATCTCTCTGAACTTTTCTCTTCTTTATATAGGCAATATATGTCCTTCACCCAACTTTTGGCATGAAGGCTGCAATATTTGCTCTGCAATTGTTTGTGGACAATTTGGTATGCCTAACTTTGTTTGTGATTGTTATTCCTTAAGACTACATATCACTTGAAAATGGCTTCAAGTGAATGTCATTCTAACTTTTGTTTCTAGGTCTGGAAGAAAGTGGTATATGTAGATAGATTACTGCAGCTCTTCAAATATGTTCATCGTGAGCAGTTGTTGACCATCCCTGACTTTGTGTTCCAGTTGAGTTTCTATGTTCCTTCCCCCACTTATCCCACTCCAATTTTTATAGCAACTTGGATTTAAAATTCCCAATTTTTATAATCAATGCATGCACGATTTAGAAGTCAATGGTGGGAAGGGCCTTATTGTTCTGTTTCTGCAAATTTTCAATCTCTGTATCATAAGACAATAATATATATTTGCACTTACGGTACATGGCTTATGAATTCTTATCTTACTCTTAAATGTTGTGCCTACTTGGTATATATTTGCACTAATGGTACATGGCTTATTTCGTTAAGAGTTTAATTTCATCTACAAGAAAATAATATACTTGAAATCTTTTATTTATCTGAACCTCAATTCAATTTGCAGGAAATTCAAAAGAGGGTATTTTTGTGTGGTACATGGCTTACTCTCTACCTCATCACATGATCATTTAATTTCTAGTTGAAACAGGAGTGGGATCCATTTAATGACTTGCTGTTATCTAATTAGATTGGTTGACAAATTAGATCTTCTTGTTCACCAATATGATTTCGTAAATTTGCATATTGGTTATTTTAAAGTGACAATATACCTTATGCAAATTTAGTACCTTGCACTTTTTAAGCTTATGTTCATATTTTGTGTTTACATTCAACGTGTTTTTTTTTTTTTTTCAGTATAGAGCTAGAAGGAAGGACACTTACACCCAAATGGAATTAGATGAGGTGCGAGAAGAATTGGCAACTCATGTCCTAGAATGACTTTTTGATTGAGCTAAACATTCCTTCATTTTACATGTCTTTCTAGCTAGTATTTTGTGGTGTAGGGCTGGTAAATTTGTGATTTGGATGTGACAAGTATGGATAATTCAAGTATTTTGTGCATATATATATGTAGACAAGTATGGATATATTTAAATTACTGTTTATGTGAAACAAGCAAAATACCTACCCTTTCCTTGCATAAGTGATGCCTATTGTTTATAACAACTTCAGTTTTCCAGAAATAATAGAAGTTGAAAGATAAAAACAACAATCAGACATCCATGATCACTGATGCCTAAAACTAGAAGTAGCATCAGCATTTATGTAATCACCAGCATTATTGGAGACTTTTCACGTGCGCAAAATAAAAAAAGCGATGATGTATAACATAATTCACAACACTACTATTTGATTATAAGATGTTGTAATTGATAATATGCATCAGCATAGCAGATGTCACTGATGCTATAATACCTCTTTAGCCTCATCCCTTTTAAAACCACTGATGATGTAATACCTCTTTAGCATCCTCCCTTTTGAAACTACAGATGCTGTTTCGGGCTTAGGCGTCAGAAGTCAACCTTTTTTGGCACAAGGAAATAATTTACGCATCGGAGTTTACCAAATATCCGATGTAGTAAGTAGCAAACAGCCACGGATAATATCCGTTGCCTATTACATGGTAACAGGCAACAGGCTTGAATACCACGGTATTTATGTGTAATAGGCAACGGACTTTATCCGTTGCTAAAGCCCTTTTTTGGCACAGTGTTTGAGTGAAATCCAATCGCTAGAAGTATGGAATACACCAACCACTCCAATTAGGAACGAACTGCCGTTGAACTTGAATTGTCCAATTTCTCATACCTATTTATTTCGGATCGAGCCCAAAACTTGGGCAACATCATAATATGGTGGGAGGAGTCATTTGGTTTGTTTTGAGTGAAATCCAATCCCCAAAACTATGAATTACCCCAACCACTCCAATTTGGAACGAACTGCCTTTGAACTTGAATTGTCCAATTTCTTACACCTACTGATTTCGGATCGAGCCCAAAACTTGGGC